AAGAGGGACTGATCACAATCAGTAACGATTTGGCTCAAAAGATTGTATCTAGTCAGTCAGTTTAAGTCTAAAAAAAGAAAGTTTACTGTAAATATTGATACATCAATATTCACCAGGAAATGTGAATCAGATATAAAAGTGAAACATTAGCTTCCTAACACTAAGCTTGGATTCTGGGTTTAAGAAACGTCCCTCTGCTTTGGGCTCCTCTTGGAAATCAGTTCAAACTCATGCAGATGTTTTCCAAACTTTATCTGAATCTTTCAGTCTGAGGCCAACTTGGCGCCTTTTACAGCTTCATCTGATAACAATGATGACAGCAGAGCTTTGGATCAGTGTAACAGCCTAAATATGCAAAGAGCATGTTATAACATAGACAGTGGCTTTGTGAACAAAACATAAACAGTGGATCTGAAGATCAGCATTAATGCATCTGATGATACATGTGGCATGTTGGCTTTGAATTGTTGCAGATAAATGTTGTTATAAAAGCTACACACAATCTGGCAAAGTACTTTTGGTCTATTTTTTTAGTGCAAAATATCTTATGACACTTAAAATAAAATAAAAAACTAACTTACAAGTAACTTTTTAACTAAATACCTGTTTTAAGCAATATGTCCTTAATATGTATTTTTAAAAGTATTAATTCCACTGGCAGATTACTTCACAAAATGTTTTATTTTTCTGTATGGGTAGTTCAGTCATTAAGGAACACTACTGCCCTCTTCTGGTTTGCTATAAATCTGTATAAGAACCATTAAAAGTTCAACATTTGAACTTGTATATTAAATATATATTAAATTATCCATCATAACCTTTAAAAGTGACCTGTTAAATTCCCTGAAAACGTTAGGACAGGTTTATGGTCTACTCAAAACATTTTCATTTGCATAAAGTTATTCTTAGATGATGACATTTCAGTCTGATCAGTTCTGCCTTTTCTCAGCTCCTTTCAGATTTAGCTGTCACTATAAATCCATGTGAAAATGGACCCAAACAGAGCAGTTATACAACCTTTGAAAAGCAGAAGCGGAGCCTCCTGGACAACCAACAAGAATGCAGCAAGTGGTTTCTGGTTCTTGTCTACTCCAGCAGCCATTATACAGTGGTAAAACTAGCTGACCAAACATGTTGGAGCTCAGTTTGTGTTGCTAGGTAACGGGCTGGGCTTTCAGGGTTGCTAGGTAACGGGCAGTGCCTGCTGATTTGTAACATTACATTCTGTTTTGTTATTTGAAGGCTGTTTTTAAAAGTAGTAGAAACCCAAATGGAAGTACAAAAACACTAAAAGTAAAAAGTAAAGTAAAACAATCTGCTGCATCCACCCACTTACCCACTGGTGACATCATCAGTGCGCACGACGTTCTTGCTCAGCACGTCTCCGTCGCTCATGTAGCCGGTGACCTCCATGGCGGGGCCGTCCAGCTCCATTTCGTCTCCGGCTCTGTCCCCCAGCTCCACGCTGCACAGCGTGCCACCCCTGCCGGCCAGCTGCCTCCGCAGGTGCCCCGGGTACAGGTAGCGCCCACCTCGCCCGCCGTAGCCGTTCCCAACAGAAGGGGCGTCGCCCGCCTGCAGACGAGGGCTGGACTGCCCCAGTCGCCATGGTGACAGCGACGAGCGGGCGGAGGTAAGGCTGAGGATGCTTCGACCGCTCCCGCCGCCGCTGCTGTTGTTGCCGGATGATCCGCCGCCACCACTGCTGATGTCTGTCGTAACGCTGCCGTCAAAGGTGGTTTCCAGAGTACTAAGAAAAAAAATTAAATTTAAACAACAAACAATCAAACTCCTCTAGAGAGTACTCCTCTAGATCATTTTATTAGCAGAACCGCAACGAAAAATAGGGGTTAGACTGAAACTAGGGATGAATAAAATGGCTGAAAAACGTGTCAGATATCGGTATCGGTATGGGAAGTGAATCGGTGCATCCGGAGTATAATCACCAACATTTTTGTCTTAAAAACTCATGAAAATAACAAGAAGTTTTTTGAAAAAGATCATTAAAGTGAAATTTAGTTGATACTTTCTCATCTTAACACAGAAGTAAGTGCAGTCAGTTGTGGTTTAGTAATTAATCATAATTAAATAAGCATTTTTTATTATTGTTTTACCTGTGAGTGACCTGAGTTCCCCGCAGACTGGACATAGTCTCTTCTAAATTTTGCCGAAGGTCTGCAATGTTTTTGACGGTGCGCAGCCGTCTGGCCTCTGGGTCTTCACCTGAACAAAACATTGTTTTAAAGAAGTGAGATTTGAAATGTAAACTGTGGACGGAAGCAGACAGTTCCTACCTGAAAGGTCTTCGATGGAGGTCTGGCTGGTCTTTGTGCAGGAAACGTCTCCACCTCTTCCCACTGAGCCGCTCTCAGAGTTCACCGTTCCCTCGCCATCTGTTTGTGTTCTGCCGGAAAACAAATTGTGCGAGTGATTAAAGTGAGGAAATCATTGATTGTGAATTATGGCGCACTTAGGGGGAACCTAATATTCAGAAAATTGTCACGAAGAAGGGATAAACCTGATTAGACTTTAAATCTGCTGTGTTTCAAGTCTTGTGACTGCGGTGAGAAGCGAATGGCTGCTAAGCCTCAGACTTCAGTAACGTTTTGTCTTTGAAGGATAAATCAATAGAGCGCTGCGGCTGGACAGCGTGACGTTTGAATGCCTCGCTCATACGCTGCCTTTGCTCTTTGGCCGACTCCAGACTTTGTCCTTGTTGACTAACGAACCCTCAGCTGAGCAGTTAGAGTCACTGAGGAGAAATAACACCTGAATTTTAACTACTAATTATTCACAAAAAATGTTTTAGCAACAAAATAACACATTTGCTTGGTTTATTTTCAGTAAAACTTTTCTCCGTCTTTGTGAGATTATGGTTTATGGAAGCCAAAGTTGACATAATGCAAAGAGTAATTATACATTTGACAAGCAAACAAAAGAAAATGAGCTTTCTGTGTTACACAATGTTTTCTAATTGTGTTCAAACTGTAATTTTGTCAAGCTACAAAAAAAGAACCAATATGTTTTACTGGATTTCAATGTATTTCAATGAGATTCCAAAAAGTCTGAGAATAAAGTCAGGATTATAAAACTCTGAATTCTGAGAAAAAGAGACAAAATTTTGAGAAATAAGCAGAATTTTCATAATCCAGAATTCCAAGATTAAAAATCTGAATTTTGAGCTCAAAAGTCTGAATTCTGAGATTAAAACCATAATTCTAAGATTAAAAGTCAAAATTATGAGAAAAAAATAGAATTTTGAGATTAAAAGTCCAAATTCTGAGATTAAAGTCAGAACTCTTACAACAATCCTTACAGCTGCTCCTCCTTTCTGCTGTTTGCTAATATTCAAGCTAGCAGGGTAATCCGGCCTCCTACCTGTACATGAAAGGTGCGACAGTAGCCGTGTTGGGGTGGCTGTGCAGTTGCTGCGTCTGAGGTAGCTGCACGCTGACAGTGTTGCTGGCCGTGCTCTGCGTAGTGCCTAAACCCGCCACCGGGGCGGCGCCGGGCTTCCCTTCAGTGGAGGCCAAGCTGGAGGTAGAGCTGGAGTGCCTGCTGTCCCTGTCTCTGTCCAGAGGGCCGCGGTGCATGGCGAGCCCGCCTCCGCCCAGCCGCATGCTCCGAGGCCTCTCCGCCGCCTCCTTTGCTGAAGAAGCTTTGCCCCCAGCTCCCGGGGCTTTGCCTCCTGGCTTTGGTATTCCGCTTTGTGCTGGGGTGGAACTCTCCTTTTTGGATACTTTTCCCCCCTTGGGAATGAAACTAGCAATTTTGGACGTCTTTTTGTTGGACGCCTCCACATCCGGAGGAGCGGGCGCCGCTTCCTCCTTAAGCTCCTCCCCCCTCAGCTCCGCCCTGTCAGGGCCACGTTTGCCCAGCTCCTTCCCTTTCTCCTTCTCCTTCCCTTTCTCCTTGTCCGGGCCTTTCACTGAACCCTTCTTGGCAGTCAAAGCTCTGCTGAAAGTGCGTTGGGCAATGCCCTTCAGAGCAATTTTGGGGCTGCTGGCGGTTGTCGAAGCCGTCGTCCCATTCATCCCTGGTCGAAGGTTGCCATCTTCTTCCTCCAAAGGGTCAGTGTTGGAGCCGGTTTCCAATCTCTCCACAGGCGTCCGGACTGGGGCGGCGCCATCTGGTTGGGGTACTACCGCTTTAGATCCTGATTTGCTGTTGAACAGCTTAAGTTTCTCAAGCATCGACTTCTGGGTGGCGGCTTTGGGAGGAGCTTCAACCTTGGTCGATGCGTCCTTCTCTGGCTTGTTGGACTGCATTGCGGATGCCGGGCTGCTGGTGGACGATGGCGGTTGGGCGTTGGTGTGCTTGGCGCTCGTTGACTTGCTCCTCCAGGGTTTGCTGCTGCTGTTGGGTTGGGGAATGGCGGTAGACGGGGAGGCCGAGGATGGAGGAACCAGGTGGGACGTAGCAGATAGGGCGCTGGTGGAGGAGCCGACGGTCACTGCAGACGACGGAGCATGCTCAGTCATCACAGACAGCTGTGAGGTCATGCCCTCCAAGGAATCTGCACCAAAGGACAGACATTTTACCAAACAATGAAGTCAAGTTTATTTGTGTAGCACATTTTCAGCAACAAGGCAGTTCAAAGTGCTATCATACAGTCATCAAATATCGAACAATGAATAAACATTACATTTTGTCAAAAATCAGAATCATCAAGCAAACACTCATCTAATCAAAGGCAACTCTTTTATTCTAGATTTAAAGGTACTCCATGTTTCAGCAGTTTTGCAGTTTTCCAGAAGTTTGCTCAGATTTGTGGTGCATAAAAGTTGAATGCTGCTTCTCCATGTTCTGGGGATGCAGAGCCGAACCAGAACCAGAACCAGAACCAGAAGACCTGAGAGGCCTGGAAGGTTGATCCAACAACAGCAGATCTTTAAAACCACAGTAATATATTTTTTATTACATATTTTTTTCATTGTCACCAAGCTGACAGTTAATTTGTGGAAAAAATCGAGCTCTTCTGCCTTCTTCTTCCAGAAACAACCAATCAGAGCCCAGAGGCGGGTCTTAGCGCTGTCAATCACTATGTAGCTAGCATAGCATGTTGTGAATGCTGAGGCTCGTTAGCATAGCCATTAATGACGGCAGATAAACAGTTTTCCTGTAACACATTTAACAGTGTGTATATGAGGTTGATTGACAGCACTAAGACCCGCCCCCTGTCTCTGATTGGTTGTTTTCACAGTTTATCTGTCTAATGTTTTATTATCACAACATAGTAATAGTTTTAACAAATATTTTAAAAAACATAATTTGCTAAGACAAATGTCATATTATTGCCTGTTTCATTAAAGTATTAGTTGTTTCATTTATTGTTGTGCAGATAAAAGAGAAAGTAATCACAATAACATTATGTTTCCACTTTTAATTGGAGAAAAAAGCTAATTTTGGCTCCTGAGGACCTTCAACTTGGGGAGTTTGAACCTTGGTACAAAAAGTTTAGACACCTGTGTGCTAAGGGATAAACCTGCCATGAGTTTGCTGTAAAAATCCCTCAGCAATAACAATAAGGGAGTCCATCATAAACTGTTTAGAAGAGCAGTGAGGAGCAGACTGGAGTGCTTTCAAGCCTCGCCAAGTAAGCCACATCAAGAAGCGGTGCTGCTGCACTTATAAGGTCTGCTTTTGGTCAGAGTTCTTCTGCTCTGCAAAAAAAAAAAAAAAAAAAACAGCACGACACATGGACTCAACCTAGTCTAAAAACAGAAATAATATCTCGCAACACCTCACTTTAGTTCCTGTCTGCATAAATCAAACACAGATCTTCCTGCTAAAAGCTGTAGCCTTTCATAAAGTAAAACTATACTGAGGGTTTCTGAGGTGGTCAACGTGCAGATTGCAGCTCCAACCGGCAACATTTGAATATTCAAACACCAACTGCCAGAGAGAGAGCGGGAGAGCGAGGGCCTGAGCTGGGCGGCGAAGACCCCCACCTTAGTTTGCATGAGACAACACAGACAAGATCCTCAGGCCAAGTCTCTCCTGCAGCCGTTTTCTCTAGTTTACATGATTTATTTGTTTGGTTATCTGATTACAACTGGAAACTAGAGATGCTTTGAATAGACTGTTTGTATTGTGCATAAGCCAAGATATAAAAACAAACCCCTGATTAAAAAGTCACAGTTTTGGTGACAGAAAAGAGGAAAACATGATTGCAATTTTCAGGCAAAACCTACAATATCCTGCAAAAATACAAAATCTTACCAGGTATTTTTGGTCTAGTTTCTAGTGCAAATATTTTCGTAAACTTTAAATAAAACAAAACTAACTTACAAGTAACTGTTCAGCAATATATAGGAGCTTGAATTGAGTCAATAATTTCTTAAAATTGATGAAAAAGTAAATAATCTTCTGGTGGAACTGGTCATTTATAATCAACATTAAGGAATTGGTGACTTAAAAGAAACTCCTACATCTTGCTGAAAAGCTATATGACTTATTTTTGTCATATTGTGTAAGATATGTGTGCCAAGATATTTGCAATAGAAACCAAAAGTAGTTGGTAGGATTTTGTGTTTTTGCAGTGCAGAGCCACATTCTTGTATTTGAAGAGGTTTCCTCATCACATCTCCTTGTTTCAGTAACAATTCATAGGATACTGCTGCACAGGCCTAGTGAGAAATGTCATTTATTATCAGAAATAACTGGACAGGTATTGAAATAAAAGGCATAGTGAAACTCCAGAAGTTTCTGAATTACATCTCAATTAATATAAAGTATCAGTCCAATGAATGAATGTTTTATTCACAGCAGCATTTACTCATAGTGGTAAACAACAACACTTTCATACTGTATGCACATTTTCATGAGGATCTCCCCTTTTATTCATGTTGCCAGTTCTTTCATGTCCTAATTGGAAATCGGCACTCACAAAGCAGCCTTCACTTTCTCCTCCTCTTCAGCGTTTAATGTGAGCAGCATGAAACAAAGCAGCCATTAGGAAGTAATTAGGGACCAATTAGATGCGCTAGTAGTTAGCTATTAACAAAGTGGGTCAGGTTTCTAATAGCTGGCTTCCTATTGGTGCTAGCTGAATAAGATGGGAACCACATCCAGCAGAGTGGGGGGAGCAAGGGGCCATGCGGTTCAGGTTTGGGGTGAATGAGGCTTTGATGTGGGCCAGCAGGAAGGTCCGGGCTCCCACAGAACTGGGTCAGTTTGGATTTTGGGTCAGAAAGGAACAGAGAGAGATGCGATGGGCATTGGGAGGCTTTTGACTTGGAGCCAGCGGGTCGCCGACAAGACCGGACCGTAAGGGACGAGGACTGACATGCTCCAGTTAGGCTGCCAAGTCGGGAAAAGAGAGATATGTTTTCCAGAGTTATGAGTGAAAAGTAACAGAAAATTGATTAACTTGGGATTCTGATCAGATCTGCTTCATTGAACAGGTTAGGGCAGGTCTACGGGCGAAACAAGACATGCTCACTACACTTTTTCCACAAAACCGTCCTATTTGGAGCTGTTTCAGGGCATCTTGTCACTTTAAATCCAAATAAGCTGCTGCTAGGCATGCAGTCCAAATGCAATGCTTACACTCCCATGATGGTGCAGTTATACAACCATACATCTTGGAAAAACAGAAGTGGAGTCTCCTGCGCAACCAACAAGAACACAGCAGGTGGTTTCTGAACGATGAGTCAACAACAGAAACACTTGTCTTTTCCAGCAGCCATTTTACAGCCATAAAACCAGACGACCAAATGTGTTGGAACTCTGCTGGGGTTGCTAGGTAACGGGCCAGGCTTCCGGGGTTGCTAGGTAACGGGCAGAGCCTGCTGATTTGTGACATTACATTCAGGAGGTATTTTGAAACGCCTCCTTTTCAGACACTAAAAAGCATTAACTTACTGCCAAAATCTATGAGTGTTTTTAAGCGTTTGGACCGTTCTTAGGAGCAGCAGAAACCAAAATGGCAGCACAAAAACTTAATAAAATAATTTGCACAATACACCTCTTCTAGCTTTAAAAATAAGTGGAGCAAATGTTTCATATGTTTTAAAATTTTAAATGACTAACACTTTAGCCTGTTCTGATTGATCCCAGTCCTGCTTTGGCACAGTTAGCTGAAGAATACTGATTGAAAGAATGGGATTGTCTCTGCAAAACAGCTTCAGATCCAGAACCAGTACTACTGAATACCCAGAATGCTTTAAAATCAAAACATTAAGGTCAAAGGTTATCCACTTAATCTTTTTCATATCTTTTTCATGTTTTAGTTATTTTTAATGTTAAATTAGTCACTGACTTTTTTATGTAATACTCCATTTTTTTTATACTTTTTTATTTGAATGGTGTCACTATAAATAAATCACTTTATGCTAAAAAACAAATGACTCACACCAATGACCATAAAATTAGATTTTCTACTTCAATGTTTTTTTTTTGTTTTCCATTTCCTGCAAAAAAGCCAGTAAGGAAGCACTTTCCTTCCAAAATAAACAAATTATTCCTCATGTGGTTTAGCTAACGGGTCACTAACTAAGCGACCCCGTGCAGCCTGAGGCAGAATCCTGAAATTGCGCTGGTCACATTTGTTCATTTTGCTGATTTAGGAGACATGCTGGAAGAATTTAAGTGTTTGACTTAACTGCTTAATTGCTGTGGTCATTAGAGATTAAAATGAAAAGCAGACCACCCTTCCTCGACCCCCTATACGTCTGAACATCCTCTAAGTCTGGGTCCTCTCCCTTCTGCATGAGGATAATATAAAAGCCTCTCCAGGATTCACACAGAATCGATTCTAAAGTTCTTTTCACGGCTCGTCACACTCATGCGTCTGTGAATATGCATGTGTTCAAGCCTGTCTGCACCAGAGGAAAAGAGGTTGCAATTTCACACAGTGTCAGCACTCGAACCGTCTGTGCATACATGTCTGAGCACGCCTGCCAGGTTAAGCAGAAACGGTTGGAGCTGTGTACATCTGCAGGGCCAGAAACTGAGGCGAATGCAGGCTGGAGCGCTGACGGAAAACAGGCAGTAAAAAGAAAAGTGACATCCGCTGATGACTCGGATCAAACGTCTGACACAGTCATGACTGTACCAGTCACAAGATATTACTGTCCGACTTGGGAACAAATCGCTTGGACATACAGGAAGTAGGGCTGGCCAATAGATCAATAACAACATATATCGCACTAGACATGTGATCAATATTAACAGATAATTACATTTTTAATATATGGAATATTCACAGAACCACATAGCATTCTGGGGGATGTAGGCAGAGGAAAGACAATGGCCGCTAGCTAAGTTAGGTAGCTGACATCAACTAACTCTTTGGTTTCCTAGCAACAACCTGTTGAGTAACTTGTGCTGCAAGGATATCTGGACTAAAAAATAGCAAAAAATACTTGGTAAAATTGTGTTTTTACAGTGTAGTTCTCATCACTTTTATTATCACAATAAAACCACAAAATGTTGTAATAAAACTTTAAGGGCATATCTCCCACCCATGCTTAGCATCCATTTCCCATTGACTTGACATGTTGCCCTTTGATGGAGTAGCACTTATTATGATATAGAAAATCATAATTAAAAAATAATCACTGAATGTAGTTTATCCAGAATAAAACATGGTTAGGCATTATTTTTATTTCCAGACTCATTCACTGATGCTTCTCTTTCGCCCTGCAGGTGTTTTTGCTTCCATATCAGATTTCAGTCGGCTCCTCTCGCTCCTCACGCATTGTGCTCCAAAAAGCAAAAGGGACAGGAAGCTTTTGTGATTTTTTTCTTTTATACTTTTTAAAGTTTCTCCATATGAATACACTCAAACAGTGACGCCACAGCTCATCAAGAAGCTAGTCACTCAGTAAAGGGAGCAGACGTACAAACTCCTCACAGAAACACACAGGTGCACCCTGCACTGCAAAAACACAAAATCTTCTGTCTAGTTTTTAGTCCAAATATCTTGGTACATTTCATGTAACTTTTCAGTTTTGTTTTAAGTAAATAATTTCTTTATACTGATTAAAAGTCCTGGTTTCATTGGCAGATTACGTCACTTATAATCAGACATTTCCTGAAACAAGTAGATGTATTCACGGAACAAAAATGCATTTTCACTCTTTTAAAAAGAAGCAATAACTGCATAAATGTGCACAGCTTTCAGCTAAAACTTTATTTAAGACAACATGAAAAATAGTTCTGACATCCTAAAACAGTGTAGCTGATATCCCTCATTTGTATTGATTGGTTTAAGCCAGAGTTGCCCAACATGTTACAAAGGATGTATTTGTACAAAAGGCATCAGTCAGGAGAAGGCTAAAAAGAATCCACAGCATTATAAATACTTCATGGTAATGTGAAAATAGCCCTCAGTTATTGTAAAAACTACAAGGAATTGCAACAGCTTTAAGAAATAATGATTAATAATGATTTATTTAATATGTAAACAATACACTGCAAAAACTAAAAATCTTACCAAGTATTTTTGGTGTAGATTCTACTGTGAATATCTTCATACCCTTGAAATAAGACAAAACTAACTTGCAAGTACATTTTTACCAAGATATAGGAATTTGTTTAAAGTAAATAATTAATTTAATATTGTTTAAAAAGTCCTAGTTCCACTGGAAGATTATTTCAATATTTTGATCTGAGTTAGTTATTACTTTTCAGTGAGAAAATGAGCTTTTTTAAAAGTAAATAATTCCCTAATATCGATGAAAACGTTGTAATACCACAGGAATTATTATTTCACTTGTTAGAAATAAATCAATTTAAGGAAATATGTACTGAAAACGAGTTCCTATATCATGCTAAAAAGTTACTTATTCGATAGTTTTAACTTAGAAAGTAGACCAGAAACAGTTGGTAGGGTTTTGTGTTTTTGCAGTGCGCTCTCTCTGCTCAGTGTAAATTAACAAACACCCAGATTCTGTCAGCTCCTATTAAACAGAGAGCAGAGCAGGACGCCTGTTAGCATGACTTCATTCTGGTGTCACAGCCGCTGACACAGAACAGCTCCGGCCCGAACATCTGAACCTGCAGCAGCAACGTTTCAAACATGCATGCAAAATTACAAGTTAGGAAAAAATCTATAAAAACCAACAATTAGAGATTGGTTGCTACCTCAAAAGGGGGGAAGAAGAAACTAATCTAAACTCTATAAATCTGTTAAAGGAACCATTTCTGGAGAGGATTTAGAAGTGGAAGCTGACAAACCTGGCTGGTGCTGCTGACATCAAGCAGGAAAGGAAAGTAGAGACTAAAGAAGATGGACAGCAGAGGAGAGGAGAGGCTCAAAGTGGCGTTCAGGGAGGAGGAGTGCGGTCCGCAGACAGGACAGGGGCGGAGTTTGGGAACAGGACTGCTGCGGTCATTTTTAACTCTGCACAGCCATCACATCTCTAACTTTATCGCACTTCGTCATGTTACGAGCAAAGGCTTTAATTTGTTAGGCTAACATAAAGAAGCATGTAATTACCAACTGGAAGGAGAGAGAGGCACGGCTTTCAACCTTTACAAATAAAAAGTATGGAGTTTATCTTTAGCAACCTAAAATGAAACTACACAATATGTAATAGTGTCATAAAATCCGCAAACACATTTTGCAATTCTTTATCCTAGAATATGTAATAGCATTATTATGTTTTCCACCGATTATCACAACATGCAGAGGTACACTGCAAAAACATAAAATCTAATCAAGTATTTTTGGTTTAGTTTCCAGTCCAAATATCTTGATAGATTTGAAATAAGACAAAACTAACTTACAAATAACTTTCATCAAGATATAGGAGCTTGTTTCAAGTCAACAATTCCTTAGTATTGATTAAAAAGTTTTAATGACAGATTATTCGACTTGTAAACTGTAAAAAACTGTGTTGTTATAAATGAATGTATCTACTAAACAAAGCTTTTCCATTAATATTAAGGAATTATTTACTTAAAAAAAGCTCCTATGACTCAAGCTCCTGAGTTATTTTTTCTTATTGCAAGAAATATCTGAACTAGAAATTTGACCAAAATACTTGGTAAGATTTTGTGTTTTTGCAGTGCAGAAACATTTTCAATGAAGTAATTTTCTTTTTATACAATTTTCTTTTTCCAAGTAATTACAATATACTCAGATTTCTCAAGTTAATTCAAGCTATGCTTACTAAAACTGCATAAGTTGATGTTACTCACTCAGTTAATTCAATGAAAACTGGAAACATTTGAGGCAATGAGTTTGTACATATTTTTTATTATGACTTTTTTTTTAGCTTTGTATCAATTTTATGTCCTCATCAAAAGCATACTTGGAGTGTTGCCTTGATTCTTTAAGATGTTTAAGAAATCTTTTAATCTCCATGGAAACCATTCAGATGTGAAAAACGCCTCAAAGTGCGGCTCTCCTTCAGTCAGCTCCTTCAGACTAGCCAGCAGCAATTAGCAAACACCTGGTGGAATTGAGCATTTCATTTTATAAGAAACATCTCAGTGAAATTCTGGAAAAAACACTGTTAAAGGGTTAATAGAGGAGCCATGTTGTGATGATTTCCTGAAGGCGGAGCTTCAGAAACTGCAGGAGCTTCTTAAAGAGACAGACGCCTCTTCCAAATTACAAAGTCAAATTTCTTTTAAGTCATATTTGATATATAAAGCATTTTTATAATAATTGCAGTTAAAGTTACTTGATTGTGCTATGAAACAGCTCTATGTGCCTGAAAAATGCATAATACTGCCATTTTAAGTAAGAAGAACTAACTAGGTTTTACAGTGCATGCGCTTCCTTTGAATGCTTATAAAAACGCCTCCCTTCTTAGAGTATGTTGGACATTTTTTCATTTATTTCCACTCTGTTCTTCCTGAGAGTCTGAGCAGCAGATAGTTTGCAAGTAATTGAGATCATCTGCTTCATTCATGCTTCACCCATCAGCTGACTGGTAACATCCCAGTCCGCCTGCATGCAGCCAACACCATTAACTGCTGCTTTTACGCACAGAAGCCACCTTTATGCAGCATAATGGGAAACCTTAAAACAGGTTCACTTTACTCAGTGTGAACAAAGGGACTCTTTCTTTCTGGGTCTAAACTAAGACAGACTTATTTAACAGCAAATAATCAATTAAAGCTGCAGTATGTAACTTTTATAAAGATGTTCAAGATGTTTTTTTATATATTTGTTAAAACTGGCACCATGTTGTTATATGAGGCAGATAATCTGTGAAAAGATCAATCACTGAGCTGATGATGACATGCAGCACTCCCGACCAAAAACAACCAATCACAGGCAGGGGGCGGGTCTTAGCGCTGTCAATCAAGCTCAAGGTAATTTTATTTTTAAAGCACATTTTCAGCAGCATGGCAGTTCAAAGTCCTTTACTGAATTAGAAGGAGAGACAAACAAAACAACAAACCAAAAGAAAGACAAAGTAAAAGTATAAAACTACATATTGGTTCCCCATGTATAATAATAATGATAATAAAAATACTTAGTCCATAGTATAGAAACTAGTAGGGGTTTCTTTGGTTTCATGTTCTGATAAAACTAAATGTTGGTTCTCTGTGTTTGGTAAGGCTAGTGAGGCATAAAACTAAATGTTGGGTCCAGTTGTTCTGGGTGGAGTTCTACATTTGTTCGATATAAATCTAAATGTTGCTTCTCAGTGTTTGATTCTTGTTCAGGGTTGTTAAGTAGATGGTACTTTGTAATTTTCTAGAAACAAGACAAAACTGACTTACAAACTAACTTTTTAGGAAGATAGAGGAGCTTGATTTAAGTAAATTACTCTGTAATATTAATTAAAAAGTACTAGATATACAGTCAGATTATTTCACTTATGTACAAAATGTCTTGTTGAAAGAGAAAATCTGCCAGTTGAACTATTACTTTTCATCAATATTAATGACTTAAAACCAGCTCCTACATCTTACTGAAAAGTTAGTTTTGTCTTATTTGAAATATATTAATATATTGGCACTAGAAACTACAAAAAAAATGGTAAGATTTTGTGTTTTTGCAGTGTTAGCCTGGCACTGTTTAACACAATGACATCTCTCTCTCCCCCCTCTCTCTCTGGGCGGTCAAAACTCCCTGTAATTCTGGGTAATGAGTTTAGACGTCGGACACTAACAAAGTCTATATAAAGGTCGGGTCCACTGAACGGTCGCTTCAAGCACCATTTATGCTAAATCTGCTGCCAAATACCAGAAACAGATTGTAAAAAAATTAAGCCTTTAATGCAAACACACCGTAGAGAGAAAACTTACGCTGCGATATCAAATTATAGTTTTATTTAAGTCGTCGTTTCCTGTGCTGAAAGGATTCAGAGGAGCTGTAGGAGAACATTAACATGTTTGCACTCCAGTTTTAAGAGGATCCTCTTGCTTTTCTTTGCTGGCTTAACAATTCGACCAAAACTGAGTGCTGCTTCTAATAAAATAAACACTTTCAGCAGGCTGCAGCAGACTGATAACGGCTGAAGTGTTTTTGGGGAGCCGTTCTTCGTTTCCACCACATCTCTGAGTGAAAACAGCATAAATTTCAATCAGGGTTGGGTAAAAGTCATCAGCTATTCTCAGAATTGCGAGTGATGTGGTGCGGAGCGACACAGAATGTTCTGTCCTTCTGCTGGACCGAACCCCAGCCTTTGATATGCTGACCGCCACATCAGGTCAGGGTACTGGGCCGCCGTATCGCGCTCTGCCTCACCGTGGTTTTCTGCATATCGTTCCGATCATTCCTTCTGTGCAGCTGCTTCAAATTATAGGGCTTCCTTAGACCGTTTTCATTTTGGCGTACCTCAGGGTTCTGCATTTGGGGCCCTTGTTATTTCTGGTTTTACATGCCACTTGCGCACATTTTGGACAGTTTTAAAGATGACTCATGTCGATGCTGATCTCTTCATGAGTTATGGAAAAAAAAAAAACATTTCTCACATGCTTGTTGCTAAATAACAATATCTGGCATTACATGCATGTCTTTCAGGGTGCATAACAAGAAGCTATGATGACTGACCAAGCCTCCTACTGGTCTCAGTCACAAGTTTCACCATGGATATCAGAGTTACACATTTAAACCATTTTCATTTTGGCATACCTCAGGGTTCTGTATTTGGGGCTCTTGATATTTCTGGTTTTACATGCTTCTTCAGAACATTTTGAACAGTTTTAAAGATGACTTATGTCAACGCTAATCTATTTTAGGCCTCATGAGTTATTGAAAAAAGCATATAATTCATGTTTTTTGCTAAAAAAAAAAATATTTGGCATTACTTTTGCCACATGATTTCTTTTTCTTTGACAGACACACACAAATAGTTTCACAGTATCCACAAAGCATTAGGTTAGAAATAAGGTTGAAATTTCCTAAACCAGTCACATAGAAAGAGCGATTTACATAACTAAACTGCAAATTGTAATTTCATTTAAGCATATTTTTAAAGTTATTGATGATTTCATTGGACAATCGATAAAACAGTAAAACTAGCAATTCCAACAACAAGGTAAGTTTTTTTAAGCATTACTGGAATTAAGAATAAATAAAAAAAAATTATGATCACAACAAAAAATCTAAGTTAACCAATCCTTTTGTGGTTTTTGTTAAAATACAAGATGAAACTTTGGTAGAACTTCCTCCAACAAAGATATGTTAAGTGGAAATTGTTTAAGGGTCTTTCTGGTAGAATTTAAACCGCAGGTGGAGGTACCTCTGCCACTGTTTATGAAGTTTCTCACCTTTGTTGGGATGTAAACTTGCTTTGGTCTTGTCGCTGCAGCCCTGACTGCGCCGGTTTCCAGCAGCGCTGACCGAGCCTCTGGCAGGGCCGTCACCGCCAGCAGTGGACACCCGTGTTGACGGGCCAGGAAGTCTGATGAACAGATCAGAAAGAAAAACAATAAAACAATGGAGGAGGGGAGTAAAGACATCTGAGCTTTCACGAGGGAAGTTTAAATGTGTGACATCTGATTTAACTCAGAAAAGGACTTTTTCACACAGAACAGATAAGAACCGGTTTAGGAAGGTCAGAAAGAGCTGCTGTACATTTCTAATTCTTATAAAAGTCTCCTAAAAATACATCTGTTATATCTTGTTTTATGCAACAGTCAAACAACAAAGAGAAAAATGGGTTTTGTTTCGACATACTAATGCAAATATTTAATACTTTGAGTAAAAACATCTGGATCTGATCAACAATCAAACATTTTATATTTGAAGCTTTTCCCAACTGTGCAGCTCATTAATTTATTCCACCAGATAGATTATTTCACCTAGACTGCAACGTTTTAAATTATTAATAAAGTCCACACGATTTCATATGATGGAGTATTACGGCTACTACAAACAGGTGGGAAAAAGGAGTAAAATAAGATTAATATCAGAAATTTTCTAGATAAAACGTGGAAATTTCTAAGTTTGAAAAGTCAAAAGTTTTCTACTTTTTTCTAGAAAATGTTTCGGATTAATCTCAAAATAAAAAATAAAAAAAAATTCAGCAAATTTTTAACTTTTCAAACTCTGAAACTTCCAGGTTTCTTTTTTCTTTCTTTCTTTTTTTAGATTTCCTCCATAAAATAGTAGAAATATTATTCAAATAGGAAAAGTGCTAAATTTTTCTGTTTTTATGACAAAACACACTGGCTATGCTACTAGAAACATGGCTAATTAAAGACTGTCACTGCACTTTGCTGACATTACATAGTATTGCATCTGATAAAAACAGCATTTTATGTCTAAACAAATTTTAACAAACATATTCACAGTAACTGATAATAAAAACAATATACTTTAATACTTTATTACTTTTAACACACCTTTTGAATACTAAAATACATTGTAATAATCAGGTAATCTAACAGTAATATCTTCACGTTGTAGTTATACAGGTTCACCAGAAGATGGAGACATTGAACCACATGTTAGGGGCCGTTGTGTCGACAGGAAGCAGGTGCAGCAAATCACATTTTGGGATGGGCTGCATGCAAAACCAGATCTTACATTCAGTTTAAAAGGGAAAGTTGTTACATTAGAGCAAAATTCATGCTGAGAGTCTGACAAAACTTCAACAAAACCAAACGAAACAGAACAAAGGCAAGTTTCTGTCACGCATCACTTCAAACGCACAATCCCTGCTGCAGGTTCTGTGTTAATTATTAATGTCACATTATACACGGAGAGGGGGACGTTCTTGTCAAGAAAACCAACCCACACACACTTACTTACCTAAGGGTTATCTAAAGGTCTTTTACAGCCCATTTAGCAGACCGGCCAAATGAGGCGTGATGCCAGAAACAGACAAGAACCCTCTGAAAGTGGAGCCAGGAGCTTTTGTTTCTATCTGCGGAGCACCATCACTCATGCATTATTGATGGTGCTTGTAGTAGAAATTGCCCTTAATCACAGACAAAGAAGCAATAGGAACTTCATAATGGTTGAAAAAATAAGTTGTCTCTGATTGGAGGCAATTTCTAGCATTCTACACTGTAAAAACATGCAATTTTACCAAGTATTTTTAGTGAAAATATCGTAGTCCACTTGAAATAAGGCAAAACTAACTTTTAAGCAACTTTTCAGCAAGAAATGTGAGCTTTTTATGTCAATAATTGCTTAATATTGATGAAAAATGTAATAAGTGAAATAATCTGCCAGTGGAGCCAATACTTTTCCATGAATTGAAAGGAATTACCTACTTAAAACAAGTTAACATATCTTGCTAAAAAGTTACTTTAGTCTTAGTTCAAGTGTACGACGATGTTCACACCAACAACTAGACAGAAACTTGGTAGACTTTGTGTTTTTGCAGTGTAATTCCAGGTAAAAGTGTTGGTGAGGTGAAGGAAAGGGCAGGAAATCAGGAGAGCAAGTGAAGCTGACCTAGAGCTCTTTTTCTGACCAATGGAAAACTTGAGAAGTTTACTCTGACAAGCATCCCTGGAGGAGGAGAAGAAGAAAAGAGACGGGAGACGTGGAGGAGGACGGGAGAGAAGCCATGTTTAGAAATTTAAATGATATGAAATGTGAGCAAGAAGATAGAAATGTCAAAATGATGGATTGAAGAAAGTGAAGCAGAACATTTCATCCACTCATGTCTCTTGTTAAAGCTGCAGTATGTCAGTTTTATAAAAATATATTTTTTTTTTACTTATTTGTTGAAACTGTCAATGTGTCGAGACAATTTACAGATAATTTGTCTTCTCCCAGTGGTAACTAGAAACAACCAATAAGATGATTGAATGCTGAGCTGCCATGAAGCTCAGCATTCATGACAGGCTATGCTAATGTTAGTTAGCATAGCTTGGCATTTTGCATTAAGCAATAAATCAGTTAATTATATGATAAATTAAAACTATATCAATGACTTACATTTGTATGATTTATTGTTTTTCTCTTTTCTCTCATTAAAGGACAATTCTAGTTTTGAATTGTCCTTCAAAACTAGCTCATAAAAATCTTCAGTCTGATGTTTTGGTCTCAACTAGCTCTTATTTTGAAGGACAATTTTGTTTACAGAAACTTCATAATTTGTTTGACTTGTTTTTATTGTTTTGTTTATTTGTTTTGGATATTTAAGCTGTCTTCCAGTTCCAGTGTTAAATGTTATTAGTGTATAAAGTTTATTGATCTTTGAGAATGTGTCCTTGGATTATTATTACTCTATTATTCCATTATTGTTATATTATTTGAAAATAATCTCAAAACAATATTATCATTTATCGCGATAACTTCTGGGACAATTTATTGTTTTGTAATCATGACAGAGCTAAGCATGTCCACCAACGACGGCAGATTTTCTGTGGCTGTAAGTTGTTTTCCACCATTAGCGCGTTCATGAGGATGATTGACAGCATTAAGCCCCGCCTCCTGGCTCTGATTGGTTGTTTTTGGTGCATTTCGAGATTATCTTTCCAGTCACAACAAGGTGACAGTTTTAACAAATATGTAAAATACTTTTTTTTAAGTTAAGTTGCACACTGCAGCTTTAATCTGCGCTGATCTGGCGAACCGGGCTCACCTGGACTGCATCTCGGCCTGTGCTGCTTTCTGTGCTGTGAGGGCGGGCGTCCCATACGGAGAGTGGCTGAGCTGTGCCGGAGCGCTGCTCTGCTGGCTCAGGGACGGGTGTGTGTTCTGGGTTTGGGCCGCCGGCGCGAGGTTGGGCTGCGAGTTCTGCCGCTGAGCCTGCTGCTGCTGCTGTTTGTAGCGGGACAAGCTGAAGAAGAGGCCAAGGATCGCCTTCAGATTCCCATTACGAATCTCTGAGGGTCAGACAGAGAATCCAGATCATTTATGTAGCACATTTCAGCAGTTTAAGGCACTTTACACTGTGAAACATGACAAAACATCAGTCAACAGTTGTGAAAACTGATGACATTACATTTTGTCATGTTAAATATGTTGGTCATTGTTCCAATGTGTGACTAAAGATCAACGCATTGATCAGTTTCTCAAGATCTTGCTTGGATCTGAACCCTGGAAATGTTCTTCAGGTGACAGAAGGCCAACTTTGTAACTGTCTTTATGTGTCTCTGAAGATTCAGGTCAGAGTTCATCACTACACCCAAATTTCAGGCCTGATCGCCGGTTTCAGGCTGTAATAACTGACTGGATTGTTCCTCTTTAGGTCCAAAGGTAATAACTTCAGTTTTGTTTCTGTTTGATTTGTTCTAAGCATCTTTTCAGCATGATTTCACCAGAGTCACCTGATGACATTGTAATGTAGAGCTGAGTATCATCTGCACAGATATGATAGCTAATCTTATTTCCTGTTACAACCCAGTGGGAGCATCTAGAATGAGAGGGATCCCAGGATTGCACCTTGGAGCACCCCAGACTCCGATTCAGGGAAAGCAGAACATGTGACGTGTTGAATTAGTAGATAAAAACCATTCAGGGTCATGCATCAGTCCAGCTCACCTTCTGCAGACAGACCCTGGATGTTGACTCCTTTAGCTGCCAGGAAACTCAAACAAGCATCAATGTTCTCAATCTGGAGAGGAAAAGACACAGAGGCAAGTCAACACAGACTCCATATTTACATTCTACATAATTCCACAACATAATTATTTAAACTAAATCTGTTAAAACGCATGTTTGGTAATGGAGATCTTTT